CCTCCCATATAGCTAGACAAATCATTTTATAAATCCACACACAGAAAGAAAGTTTGCAATCTTTAGTCTAGAATGAGTCCAGTCTACTTGGGCAAAGCTCCAAGTCTTGATTAAAGATTTATATCAATGTATGTTCAAGAAATTTTAGATAGCGTCTGCCAGGGCGGTAGTGTTGATATTTTGTACATTGTAGTGTGCCTTCAAAAAGATTAATGTGTTTTTAAGTGAGAGCGTTTACTTGGCACGGTATTTTAATACAAGCTTTAAGTAAAAAATTGTGAAATTTATAGAATCGATTACGACATGTTTCTTTTTTTGATTTTTTTAAAAACTTTGGCCCACGTGAGTATTTTCTCCTGTGTCGTGGGTGTATTTACAAACATACATTTTCACATACACATCGCACCCAGACCCAGGAACAATTTGTAAATTGTGATAAGAGTTAAATAAGTTATAAATAGATAGATAAAAATCACAAAAAGAAACATGAAAAATATAGATACATACAATATAGGTATATGCATCTATTTTTTTTCTTTTTTGAGGACGGGAAATCATCAAATTTTTACGGTTTCCTCATCCAGGAGCGAGAAGGAGTGTCAGACTCCTACTGACTAAAAATACTTCCATTCCTTCTCCTGGTATTAGCTGAAGTCGCGGGAAATTATCTCGTTTGACCCGCGACGTGCAAGTGGTAAAATATAAAGGTCTCAAAAGTATGTTACTTCTATGCGAAATTACGTACAAGATAGGTAGGTATAGGGAACAAATATACTTTCACATCTAAACAGAAATACAAGTTAAAGCTAATAAAGAGTGGAAAATCTATATACATAAAATAAAAGAAAGTCGTGTGATTTGGCTGAAAATTAGGGTAGCTAGCTACATAGGTAGAGTAGAGTAGGTAGAGTAGGGTATGTCATATGATGGGAGCGACGCCGCGGTTAAGAGCTAGTTTTAAATACTATCGGCTGGTACACAACGTGTCGCGATTTACGATCGAACCAAATACGGAATCACTCTTTGTGTAATTTACAAATAGTTGTTCCGGGTTGAAGTGTGATGAGTATCTGAAATTGTATGTTTGTAAACGCACCCACGACACAGGAGCAAAACCTAACTGCTGGACTGACCCGACCAATAGATATCCCCAGAATCTCTATAGATATTCTCGAGTCCTGGTGTTTTTAGTCAGTAAGAGTCTGACATTTCCTCTCGCCTCACCCTGGGCAGGAGAAGTCATTTAATGATTTTCACCTGACAAAAAATCCTATAAAAGAAAACCTGTTTTTCCGTAAGCTGTATTATTTATAAAAAAAAAATACTTTCAAAATTTAACTGTTATGCAATTATTTTGATTGCACGTAATATGTCACTGTATAATCACCAATAACCACATTAACTCAGTTAGAATGAGGACCCTATTAAATCATTACATACAGCAGTTTAAGTAGCCCGGTATTGGGGCTCGCCTGACCTAATTCCGGCTTGCAGCTCGTGCAGTATCTAGGACAATCAATAAGGACGGTGGCGTCCTCTACATAGAAGGTTTTGTAACCTATTTAATTTGGTATTATACTCGTACCTAATATCCGTCTGTTTAATTGATTTCAAACATACAGGGTGTAAAAAGACACTTAATGAAGCCGTTAACTACGCATACTGCAGTTCTTTACGCTAAAATTATCACTGGGAAACGACTTTTATTTTTAGGTATCAAAAAAAAAAAGTTATTTTATTGCGCGCAATGCAAAGCAAACGGGATTCGTGTCATTGTGAGCGTAGGTTCACAGCTTAACATTAAAACGCTGTGATAAGTACGTAAGTCGATGTTTTACTTCGCAACAATAAAACAATTCTGTAAAATAAAAATCCTACTGAGATGCACGATGTTTTTTGTGCGAGTCTGCATTTATTTATTACGTACGTTACTGTTCGTAACTTCAAATGCGTAATTTATTTAGAAAAATCGAAAATTCAGGTAATGTTTGTTTGGAAAAAAGTTTTGTAATAATACTTAAAATTCGATTGCTCAAAAAAAATAAAAATAAAAATGCATCTTTGACCTTCAATATCTCGAGAACCCGTGGAGTCCCAGCTATGGTCTTAAAGAAAAAAATGATCCAAAAAATGGGTAGAATACGTGGCTTTCGGCTTCGTTAAGTGTCTTTTTACACCCTGTATAATACACCTATTTTATTAATTCTTAATTGGTTGGAGGTCTGGAGGTAAGGCATCCACTTGTCAGAAGAGTCCAACGTCGGATTGCACATTTGCGTAAAATAATAACAATGAATTTCCTGCACTGACCGATGCAATGCTGTTACTAAATTTTGTCTACTATTTAATGGATTATATTATACACATAAAACTACCTCTTCAATCACTTTATCTATTAAAATAAACCAAATTAAAATTCACTGCGTGCTTTTAAAGATTTTAGACATAGCGATACCTATATGAACTTGTTTTATAATATGTAGTAATTCACAATTTTGTTATATTGTGTAGCTAATTTTAAGTTTCAAATCTCAAATACATTTCTTCTCAGCTTGAAATCATACAATCAATCATAGTAGTTACAATTTACTTTTATTGCCGACTCGTTAACGTATCGATATCTCGATCTCGGAAACTAACAACTAATAAGTTTTTCAATTATAACTATTGAAGTCTATGAAGACTCTCTTCATTTTAGTAAGTGGAACTTTACCATAATGGATTCATTCATAGTTGCCCAGAGGTTAAGGCGATTCTCATAATGTCATGCATAAGGAATATTGTTTTAAGGGATAGTTAGGCTCGTTCTAATTAAAAACCACCCCGTCCCTTCTCCTGCCGAAGTCTGAGCCGAGGCCGCGGTAGATTGTAGCGCGTGCACCCGCAACCCCGGCTATGCATAAGGGTTGCAGACTTGAAATTGTATGGCATACTTTCTTATAACATTACTTATACACTGCTCACATATGATGAAAGAAAATATCGTGAGGAGACCTTGTCTTATCACAACACGGTATAAAGTAAAGTCGCTTTCTTTGTCCCTATATCCCTATGTATGCTTAAATCTTTAAAAATAGGCAACGGATTTTGATCCGTTTATAAAAATACACAGAATAATTGAAGAGAAAGGTTTATTTTGTATAATAACATCTATTAAATTGTGAAGAAATTTAGTATTAGCATTGCATTTATGAAACCGTGGTGGGTCGCTAGTAATTTCTAATTAAAAATCCGTTCTTTTCTCAGCAGTAGAATAGCTACAGGCTAATATTGATGAGGTGTGAAATACAATGAACTAAAGAAGTAGGCGTACTACAAACAACTACCTGTCTATTTACAGAATACAAAGACTGAAATAACACGCACACAACTTTCATATTGTTTAAACAGCAGCTGTGAGGAAACCGGTGCTAAATGTCGGCACTGTATTACACTCAGAGACCCCAAAGGTCAATAGTTATAACCTACAAAACAACCTACGACATCCGCCTACAAGACACCCACGATTCAGCCGTTTACGTAATCCTGTAAAAGTATTGCCCCTGCTACGCACGCCTACGCCTTTTGCTACGAAATGCTACGACGCGCTACGACGTATTAGCTACGAATGTTTTTGGCGACCGTATTTTTGTGTTTAACTTTTTCGTTTGAGTGTCTTTTGTTTATAGTGTTTTCTTTATTACGTTTATTTTTTTTTATTTTGACAACATATTGTTTACTTTAGGTCGAAAGGGTAGTTATGGGGTACAAAGTTTTTTTTACACACATACATATTTTTTTATATAAAAAAATATTTCGCAACATTTTGATTTTCTCCTGTGTCGTGTATGTATAAATTCACATACACAAGTCACCCAGATTGGATACAACGATTTGTGGATCACACAAAGAGTTGGTCCGTGCAGAAATCGAACCCGCGAAACGTTACACAGCAGCCTATTGCCTGGCCACTGTGTAAATCGTGCAGTCAATAATGATACTTCTCTTATCATTTTTACAGTTTGGTTAGGGTTGTGATATCATAATACTATCATGTTTGTACAATTTTGTTTTTCGTATAACTATATACATTCTATGTAGGTGATACAGATTAAGACAAAATTGTAACATTTGTTAAAATAAAGTTTTAATATTATTATTTTTGTTTTATCATAATTAATTTGAGCCTGTGTGCTAACAATGAAACACGATATGTTTTTATACCTACTCTTAATGACGTGACGACGTCAATACTTACGACTTTCACTCACGATCTAAAAAGGAAATATTCACGAAAAAATAGCGAAAATTCTCATTAAGCTCTTAAAGCACCTGAAACAAATCACTCCCTATTACCTAGCGCTCCGTTGTAGCGCGAGAGACCTACGCCCACTCTGATGACCTGATTCTCGATATTGACCAGCCCCCTCCCCCAATCTGGCCTAAATGTCACCCCCCACGACCTTTAAACGACGCATGCGCCAACCAGCAACCCTGGAACCTCCTACAGCAGCCCAGATTTCAGTCTGCCTAAAACCGTAGCACCAACCGTTCAGCTTTCAGGCTGAAATTATTTCAGTTACAAAAATTTCTCTTACATTTATGATAAATTCTAATTCAGTACTTGACAATTTGTATTTCATTAAATATAATTTCGGTTTGAGGCATATAGTCATCTGTTTTTCAACGAAAAACATATCTTACAAGTAGTCTATCGTGAGAGCCGCAGACAAGGTACGTTTAAGAATATCTCTCTAGCAAAAAATTCGTTAGATTCAGTAGTTTTTAGTATTTTGATTTTCTTTTGTTTTTGGTTCTACCAACATCTGCATCACATTTTCTCTTCGCTCATTTATTATAACGAATGATTTTTGAATACAGAATCGAATAAATAAAATCTTGCCGTCGGCAAAAAGTTACCGAAAAAAAAATCTACTTAGAATTAAATATATTTTAATTCTGGCAACAATGTTACTGGTAGTGTCAGAATCATTAACGTATTTCTTTTTTCTCTGTTCACAGAACTTAATAGAAGTTGTAGTAAAAATGTCAAAGCTGAGTTTGGACGGCTTTTTTTCCTACTGCAAGCAAATAGCAGAACATATACAATTGGTTCGTTCAATATTTCCATCTTTTATAGTCCGCCATCTTGGTTTTTTTGACACGCCCTTTATTCTCTATGCATGAATTTTTATTTTTCTTTTATTTGAATGCTGATGCATGACTATTTGTGAAATTTGTTTCTTCAATATGTTTGCATGATATTATTTGTATTTTTGGTTCAAGCTGTGCCATTTTTTATCCTTATTCTTTTATTTAACAGTTGTTTTAAAGCTTCTTGGTTATTCATGGTACTCTAAGAATGCTATTTCGTATTTTTTTACTAGAATTGTTTTTAATTTTCTTTATTTTTTTTCTTTTTGGTGTTGGTATTTGTTTTAGTAGTAATTTTATCATTTATAATGGTAGCATATCATTATAGTAAGTAAGTAAGTAATAATATTAATAAGTTGCTTGTAAATTTAATTAAATACAATATAATTTGCATATTACGCTTATCTTCAAAATAGCTGTATTTGGCTAGCTATAAGACAATAATCAGCCAAGTTGGATTAAAATGGCAATTGAAATAAATATTGCCTTTAATAAATAAATATCTTCGATTTGGTGTCGGGACGTACCTAAATAAACTATAACCAAATAATAATATTTAGAACCAAAAATGATAAAATATTTTCTTTAATGGCTATTTTTTTATTTTCGTCGCTGTACGCTTAAAACGACTGCAGCGCCATCTTGACAGTTATTTTAAAATCTTTTATTACTTGTATAAGCTGTCCGATAAGAAAAATGATTTCAGAATTTCTAAAATGCATTCTAAAATTGTAATTTTTTAATTAAAATAAAAACTTATAAATTTTTTAATTGCAAATTACACACAACACAACAACAAAATTGTGTCTTGCTTTATCTATCTATCGGCCTCTTCTGGCAGGAGTGTTTTAACTCTTAAAAGGAGAGGTCAGCCTCAATTTTACCAAATTAGTTGTTAAAAATAATATTTTATCATTTTCATTTTCATCTACGAGTATGTTCCGGCAAATAACAATTTTAAATTAATGGAACCTACATATAATATTCAATAACGTCTTTTTCAAATTGGTCTTTGGTTAGGTGATAATGTAGTATTCTAATGTATGTTTGTGTGTGTGTAGGGGGAGAGAATGGCGTCATTATCCGGACAGGGCACTCCAAAGCTGACATCTTCAGTCGGCAACTTGTACTACGATTGTGAGTATAACTTTTGCGATAACCTACCTTCTTTATTTATACTCTTTTCTTTGGAGCATATGATTGGCACTTTATTTCAAAACAAAAGGCACGACACCGCACAATTATTTTATTTAAAAATATAGCGACCCGACGGGAGCGGTGTTTACTTCATTATTTAATAACTGACCTATTAAAAAATTCGCATCAATATTCGTTGTGTAACGACAGAGTACATATATGTATAGCGACAGATAAGACCACTTTGTTTTTTTATTATGTAGTGATAAGTTTTATTTTAAAAACATGACAGTTCAGTGTGTTTTTCTAAACGTTTAATAGCTTTCGCGTTACAATTTTCTTCACAATTTCATGTATTATTAGTCGCATAGTCAGCGTGAGTGCTAAGAAATTACAGTTCCAAGTCTCAAGTCGAGAAACCCTTAATCAAATGGTTCCAATTCTCAAAATTCAAGTGTACAATGCAGAGTCTTCAATTGATTCTAGTGTAGTTCTAGCTTTAACAAGAAACAGGTCGCCCGGATTACCTGATGGTAAGCAAACGGCGCCACCCTTAGGATTTCGGAGATTACAGTAGTACCTAGTGTATATAACTTCGTTTCGTTTGTGCATTTTTAGTATCATGGTAGCCCGGAGGTTAATGCATCTGTTTTTTCTGCATAAGGTGCAAGGCTCGGAACCTGGAAAGTGTGACTTTAGCCGACTGACAATTGTATACTTGCTAAATTTATTTAGACACCACTGACATACGGTGAAGGAAAAAATAATGAAAAAATCTGGACTTATAAATTTCTGATCAAAATTTTTTAGATCGACGACCTGCTTTGAGCAAGCGTGGTAATTAATGTTCAAAACTTCTCCGTATGAAAAGAGACCAGCAATGGGCACTTATAGGCTGATGATGAGATTTGTGTGATATGACATTTTTAACTTTGACTTTAGGCTTGCTGAGTCAATTAATCCCTCGTAGTGTTAACATGGAATTGAACTTTAGAGTTTAATTAATGGAGTCACGCGGATATATTGTAAAGAGCTTGATTAATTACTGCCACACACAGCTATTGTGTTGCAAAAAGCATTTTTGATTCGGTTCTCGGAGCAAAAAGGTCTGTTCTATATTTAAGTAGACTCTGAAAAAGTCTTTTTATGATAATAAGCAATCGGCCGTGCTCATAGAAATCTGCAAGACTAGAAGGGAGTGTTACCGGTCTTTTGGGAATTAGGGTTTTGGAGATGGAGATTCATTAAGATTGGGGAAGAGTTGGAAGAGGGGAAGAATTGGGTCTCTGTGAACTCACTTACACGGCGAAACGCAACGTTGTAGTTGTTTTACGTTGATTTTCTGTGAGGCTGTGTGTGATCATTCGTGCCGAAACTTGGCTCTCCAACACTTGTATTATTATTAATAGAATTAAAAACCCACCTTATGGTCATCTTGAAGATTCTCGAGTTTGATTCTCAGGACCAAAACTTTATGGCAAATTTAGATTAAAAAAAAAACATTGAATATAAAAAAACGCCTTATCCCAAAAATACAGCTCTCAAGATTATCTTCAAAATGACATGAAACACAGTCATAAATCCAGCACTGATTAAAACTTAATTTAACTCGCGTCTTATCAGCGACTTCCGACAGAGGGCGACACTTCCGACCGCCGGAAATGACGCGCGCGCCCCAAGTGTCATATTACAAGGGTAGATGATTATGAGTACGGCGTTTACTTCCTATAAACCGACGCTAGATGGCGTGTGACAGATATAGAAGTGATAGCTGGATATAGGGCGGTGGGGTTTTCATAATAGTTTCTACTGCCTCCTTGGAAAACTTTTTATGGGACGGCTTTAAGTCATAAAAAATTATCGATACATCGAGTGTGGGAGTGCCATGTTTCTCCTCTGAGCTTGTTTCGGCATTTCTTCACAGAGCAGTCAAATAGGAAATGCCGCTTTATCTAGTTTTTTTTGCAACAATAAATTTATTGTTTCCTTACCTCGACCAGAATGACACCACGGCACCAGAACGTTACAACGGCTAAAAAATACACCGGTGTGACACAACGTTTGCGCTTGCTTTGTGCAAATACGTGTCAGAGAATTTACCGGAGGTCCCATCCTTCATTAAACCTCAGTCATCAGATCCCCTCAAAAGGCAGGGCCCTTCAGGTCGTCAAAGAAGCTCAACCGTCAAGAATACAGTTCTAGGATTTAGACAAACACGTGAAGACGTGGTTGAATCTTGCTTTCAGTATAAATAGTCCAGCTCGACCAAAGATTCTTTAACTTTATTTATGGAATAGGTCGGCAAACGAGCAGACTTATTACTTGATGGTAAGTAATCAGCGCCGCCTATGGTCACCCGCAGTGGAGGAGTAACGAGTGCGTTGCCGACCTTTTAGGGATTAGGGTTTTGGAGATTTAGGGATTGGTATCGGGGGAGGGGAATGATTGGGCCTCCGGTAACTTCACTCACACGGCGAAACACAACGCTGTGGTTGTTTCACGCCAGTTTTCTGTGAGGCCGTGGTATCACTCCGGTCGAGCCGACCCATTCGTGCCGAAGCATGGCTCTCCCACACTTACTTGTTTCTACTGCCTCTTTGGAAATCTTTTTATGGGACGGCTTTAAGAATAAATAAAAAAAACGCATTTTGCATAAATCAGGTCCCTTAAAAAATGTAAATATATTTTTAGAATGCCAACAAAATCAATCTTCTGAATATCTAACATATCAAAATTCTTGATTGCATAAAGTCCTGACATCTCGGCAGCAAATAATTATGTCCGAGGATTCATACTGAACCCTCTTTTGCCACCGAGGTCTATACGACCCTACGATGGCATTTATTGTGTTGAGTAATAATATACGCAGACATATCAGTGATGTCTGGGCATAGTGATTTGTTTGGGATATTTATTTTACAATATTGTTATTTTGAAAATAGTTTATAAAGTACCGAATGATTGAGACTTGAAAGTGATTTATTTATTCATTTAGTTAACTTGTTTATTCAACTTGTTTGTTTATTTATTTATTTTTTGAGATATTGTTTTAATATCACCAATAATACTGTTACACAGATTTTTTCTAAATTCTTATTTTACACTAGCTACTGTCACGTGGTTTCACCCATTGCTCGGCTCCTTTTGGTTACAAAGTAATGTTTTATACCATATATCACTTAGGAACAAAGAATTTTGGAAATCCGATATGCGGTTCCATATACTCGTATTACCCCCTAAATACAAACTTACGTAAAAAACACCATAAATGTACAAAAAAACAGTTGACATTATCTAAAAACCATATTTTAAGAGTATTTCATATCTGTGACTTATTGTCATCTGACAGACCTCTTGCCCCCAACCCTCGCCCGGGACTCGAAGCCCCTCGCTCCGATTAGTTACACGCGCGTGCCTCAATATTGCACAACAATGCGCAGCTGCACTTTACAGCCGTTGCTAGGAATTTAATTAAAAATTCCTCTGTCAGTATGTTTGTGTTGATAAATCGGGAATAGTGTTCGTAAGTCGGTGTAATGCTATTGTACGGCGGTGGTCCATTCGACCCACCCACGTTTACTTAGGGTTGGATATTGGTTTTGATAAAGTTTGCGTTTGTGTATTTTATTTAAATCTTTTTTTTATGTGCACCTGAATGTGGGTTGATTTCGCGATTAGATTATGTTTAATTTTTTGTTGAGTGGTCGTGTGTATACTGATATACAGTTCTAGTATTTGTTTTTGGTTTTCAAAATTTTAGATTCTAGATAGATACTGTATTTAAATACTCTTCAGTTGGGTGCATATGTACAGGATTAAAAATGAAACTATTCGAAACCCACTTTTGGTCACATTTCATTCAGATCATATTCGGTCTCGATCTGCCGTGGATTTTTTATGTTTTCTTAGCAATAATAAAAGTATCTTTCAATTTATTTTTATTATTATATTATATCGATTGTTGATAAATATAATATATTAAGATCGAAATAGAAAGAAGCTTCTTATTCAAAAACACACACAATACACTTGCATCACTCTTAAACCAATAGACTGGAGCACAAACAAAGAAAATCTCAGCCAACCCTAAACAGCAGCGGCGACCCCAAAATACCCATAAATAGCCCCAAACAAATTAAACTCATAAAATCTAAATTCTCTTTATTACCGCGCTGTCAGAATCTTAAGCCGGCCATTTATAATCGGTTGAGGTCCCGTCTTCATTTTTCGAGAGGTATTAAAAGCCCATCTATACGCCAGTTCGAAGGAGATAGCCTATCCGTTAGTTCTCCGGCTACAATTGATAGACTCAGGGATTTAAGGGATTCACTCGTGGAAATAGAATATTTTTTGTGTGTATTTTTCTTTGTTCTCTTGCGTGGAGTGAGATTCTTTTTCTTATTGGTACAATTTTCAAATTTAAATATCTATTTTTTTAGATTTTTAATCAAGTGTCTATTATTTATTGGATTTAAAACAATACATGGGCATTTAAGCAATATATGTAAATTGAATTTGAGGTTCATTTTCTCATCAAACACCAGTTATTATAATCTTAAAATCTCTTTCAAAGACGAGTCGTGAAGTTCAGGCACCCGGATAATAGTTATAGTATTACTTAAGTAATTTATGTCTTATACGTGCACGTTGGTGGTGGTGGATGGTGAGGATTGATGGGACAACATCCAAAATACTCAGTTCGTAAAAAGAAGTTCGACAAGGCTGTATTCTGTCGCCCATTCTGATTAATATTTACGGCGAATACATTATGAGACACACCTGTGGTGGCTGGGATGGTGGCATAGCCCTCATCGGACAAAACATGTGTAGTCTGAGTTACGCAGATGATACCACTCTTCTAGCGTCAGATGAAGCAGAAATGTTCGCTTATTGAATAGGATGGAGCGCATCAGCGGAGAACTGGGACTCTCGAAAAACAGATACAAAACGAAGATCATGGTTGTAGATCGCTCAGGCAAGCTTCAGCTCACTGGGACACT